TAGTGCTAAATGATGATATGCATAGATATACGTATGCAAACACATATGCACAAACACATCCATATACTTCTATCTTTGCACATAAGCATGTACGCAGTCTATCTGTCATCATCATTTGTCCATCTATATCTACCAAAGAGGGAGAGGAAGAAGAGAGAGAGAGACTGACGCTTTCTTCTGAGAAGTAGTCCATGACCCATGACTACATTAGTTCCTGTCTGAAAATAAACTTCTAGGGAGGGGCTCATGAAGTCCCACCACTCTGTGATGCTCTATAGGCCATTAATGGTGGTTGGGAAAGGAAAAGATAGGTCCTTCGGTGGTATAGCCACTGATGAGTTGCCCATGCTCATGTAAATAAGATCTCTGTGAGTTTGAGGCCAGCCTGGTCCTCAGAGTGAATTCCAGGCCTGCTGGGGCTACAGGGAGACCCTGTCTTTTTTTTTTTTTTTTGTCTTTTTGAGATAGGGTCTCCCTATAGCCCCAGTGGGCCTGGAACTCGCTACATAGACCAGGCTGACCTCAAAGTCACAGAGATCCACCTGCCTCTGACTCCCGAGTGCTGGGACTAAAGGTGTGCACTACCACTCCCAGCTGAGACCCTGTCTTAAAAAGACAAAAAAAAAGTCATAATAAAACCATTATTATGTATAATTAGTATACATCAGTAAAAAACTTTAAACTTCTAGCGTATAATCAGACATATCTTTTTCTTTTTAAGAAAGTATCTCTCTTGCTGGGAGGCTGAGGTGGAGATCTCTGAGAGTTCAAGGCCAGCCTGGTCTACTTAGTGAGTTCCAGGACAGCTTGGGCTACAGGGAGACCTTGTCTCAAAAAAAAAAAAAAAAAAAACCAACAACAACAAAAAAAAAACAATCTCTTGTAGCCCAAGCTGGTCCTGAATTCAAGGATGACCTTGAACTTTTGAGCCTCCTGCCTCTGCCTCCCCAGGGCTGACATTACAGGTGTGTGCCACCAAGCTCAGGTAAATCATGGTTCCTGTTGTCGAGGACTGGCAGCCTCTATTTTTCTTATCAGCACATAAGTAAGCTCACTGTTTCTGTAGGTGTTGCTGATCCAGGGTGTCGAGATTCTAACACACAAATGTAAAAAGCTGTCTGTCTGTCCTTTTTTCCTCCCCCTCTGTCATAATTCTTTGACTAGTTCTTAAAAGTAGCTGCTTACTAGTCTCTGTTGACCTAACTCACTTCATGTTTCTGATCTGAACTAGATGCAGTCCCTGTCTTGTGTTCCTTTAGAACCTCAAATATCTAATTCATAAAATTTTGCATTGTCATATGAATTATTTCTTTCTCCTACTCACTATGAACTCTACTAATTCATAATTGTCTCATTTGTTCTATAGGCCCAATATATATGCATAGTAGTTATATTATTATTTTGTGAATGAATAAATAAATGCATATATTGAGTAGTCATGTGACTATTGCTTGTCATTTTTCCATGATAAAAATGATGGAGTATTTAGTGCCCTGTCCACATAGCTGGCTGTATGCACAGAAAATGGGCTATCTTGGGGAGGCAGCACCACATAGTGGAGTTTGGACTCTGGAGTAAGTCAGATACAGATTTGAATCACAGTGATGCCACGTTACTAGTGAAGGCGGACAAATCTATTAACTTACTGAGTTTTGTGATCCACTTCTATAAAATGGGCATATTTCCTGCTTCCACATAAATACTTGGCACGTAGCAGATGTTCAGTAATTGGTAGCTATCATTATTAATTGTTGCCCTTCTCTCAGAGCTGTTTGATGATCTCTCCCTTAATTGGTTGTCTTACTGTTAGATATAATTAGTCTGCTCTGTGATGCACCCTAGAATTACCAAGGTTACAGAGATTTGAAACTGTTCCAAGAATTTGTTTTAGAAATGTCAGTACAGAAAATGATTTAAAATTCCACTGCTTTCCTACTGTTTAAACATTCTAGCCTAAATGTTTTTGAATGATGTGACAGCTGTGTGTAGCGCAGAACTGTAGTTTCTATTTAATTACTGCTGCTGTAAGCATGGAAAACCTAGGCTCGTTGATAGAAGTTTTAACAGTCCCCTGTCCATTTTTTCTAATATTTTGGTCAAATATTTTTCTAGTTTTTTAATAATCTCCACCTATTGCATGGTCCTTAACATCTTTTTCAGTGGTTTCATTAAAATATTATCATAGGTTATTATCCTTTATCTTTACGTAGTTCTTCTTTATTGTATCAGGAGATTTTTGAAGTCAGAGACCACTTTCCTCTGATAAGAACATGCCTAGATTACATGATTCTGTACTTTCCAAGCCACTAATAACTTTCTCTTCTATTCAGCTGTGAGAACTTCTAATTCTGTTTTCAGTATATTCATTTTTACTGGACTTACTTATTTTGTAGGAGGCTGTTTCTAACTTTGGTTGGTGGGGGCACTGTGTTAAGGTTAGTGAGTTAAGTATGAAAGTCCTTAGTAATGAAAGTTTGCATCCTAATTGACAAATTGTTTAATCTCCTTGATTTTTTTCATTTACAAAATGTGGACTCTAAATTCTTAGTAAGCTTTCTGTGGGTGAAATGAGTTAATATAAATAAGATACTTTAGCACTCCTGGAATAGAGAAAACCATCATTCAATGGCAAATCTTTGATTTTCAGTAATGTGTTCAGGAGAGTGTATTGGAAAAGGCCTGGACAATTGGTACTAGAAAACCTTAGAGTCAATTTAGTCTCTGTCACTGAAGAGCTGAGTGGCCATAGATAAACTGTCCAAATTATCCAAGCTGCTCTTTAACAAGTAATCCACAAATTGAAAGTATAAATAACTAAAAAATTATTTTGAGGTAATATATAGAGAGTCTACATAATGCTTATCACTTAGCAGGCATCCAACATGCCTTGAACTGTCTTAAATTTTCTATCTTCGGCAGGTTATATCTTTATTCTTTCATTCAAGTATTTTCATGTAGGGCTTTTTTTGTTTGTGTGTTCATGTATGTGTGTGGATGCACATGTGTATGTATAGGATGCATGGATGTGCATGTGTATAGAGTCCTTAGCATCTCCATCTTTTTCTTTAGACAGAGTCTCTCATTTGGCCTGGAATTCCCTGATAGGCCACACTGGTTGGCCAGCAAGCCCCTGGAATCCTCACCTCTGCCTCCCCAGCCCTGGGATTACAGCTGCACACCACCACCACCTGACTTTTACATGGGTGCTGCAGATCTGAGCTCAGGTCCTCATGCTTGTGTAGCATGCACTTTAACTGAGCCATCTGCCCAGCCACCTGTGCAGATTTTAGCCTTGTTTGCAGCTAGGTGATGAGGCCCAAAGCTAAGTGGGTTTTTTTCCCATGATTACTTATTATTATTATTATTATTATTATTATTATTATTATTATTATTTTGGTCTTTTTGAGACAGGGTCTCCCTGTAGCCCCAGCTGTCCTGGAACTCACTATGTAGACCAGGCTGACCTTGAACTCACAGGGATTCGCCTCCTCTGCCTCCCAAGTGCTGGGATTAAAGGTGTGTGCCACCACGCCCGGCATGATTAGTTATTTTTATGGAGCTAATACCAGAACATAAGTTTTATAACTTTTGAACTTTTTATACTATAGCTTTTCTTTTTCTCTTTTCCTTCCTTCTTTCCTCCCTCCCTCCCTTCCTTCCTCTCTTTCCTTCCTTTCTTCCTCCCTTCTTTCCTCTGTTCCTCCCTCCCTTCCTTTTTCCTTCTTCCTTCCTTCCTTCCTTCCTTCCTCCCTTCCTTCTTTCCTTCCTTCCTCCTTTCATTTCTTCTTTCTCTCTTTTACCTTTTTTGGGCCATGATGTAAGTGAAAGAGGCTGGACTTGAACTCGCCATTCAGCCAAAGGTGACTTTGTACTTCTGATCCTTGTGCTTCCATCTCCCAGCGCTGGAATTGCAGGTGTATGTCATTGAGTTCAGCTTTTGTGGCATGGAGATAGAACCCAGGGCTTAGTGCATGCTAGGCAAGCACTTTACCAACTGAGCCACACCCCCACCTCCTAGAACTTTTCTTTCTAGGTAAATATTTTGGATGAGTCAGTTGATATTTTTAAAATGGGTTATTTTTAGTGTCTTCTCTTTTGTTTCTCTGCACGCACATGTGCATCTCCATGTATATGCATGTGCCTATAGAGGCCAGAGGTTAACATCAGGTATTATTCCTCAGCATACTGTCCACCCTGGGATTTTGAGTGTGTGTGTGTGTGTGTGTGTGTGTGTGTGTGTGTGTGTGTGTGTGTTAGAGTTTCTTACTGACTGGAACTTGCCCGGTGATCCATCTGTCTCTACATGCCTGGTGCTGTTTTTATTTTTTAATGTTAGTTCTAGGGATCAAAGTCAGGTACTCAGGTTTGTAAGGCAAGCACTCTACTGACTGAGGCATCTCCCCAGAGCTTCCCCTCAGAGGCTTAATACAGATTGTCCCAAAGCACAGTAGAGTAGTAAAGAGAATTACTCTTCTCAGCTCTATCTAGTCTGAATTACTTTCAGATTTGTTCTGAAAGGCAGTTTTGATGTTGTAGGTTTACACTGATCTTTGTTCATGTGTCTCTTACAATTCCATGAAAAGGGTACTCTTGGGCTGGAGAGATGGCTCAGCAGTTAAGAGCCCTGGCTGCTTTTGCAGAGGACCCGAGTTTGAATCCCACCACCCATACGGTGGCTAACAACTGTCTGTAACTCCAGTTCCAAGGGAGCCGACATCCTCTTCTGACCTCTGTGAGCACTACATAACATGGGTGCACTTATATATATAGGCATTATACTCATACATAAAATAAATAAATAAATAAATAAAAAGGTATTCTAATTCAAGAAGTGATGGTTATGTAGAGTCCCTGGATTTACACACACACACACACAACACACACACACACACACACACACACTTAATTTTTTTAACATTTCTCATTCTCAAAGTTCTTTGACTCATTTGTAGTGTTGGGTTTCTGTATATGTGATCTCAGGTTGTGTTTTCTTGTTACAGATTGATGAAAAGCCCCGAAATTTGATGACGGATTGTGTGGTTATAAAGCATTTTTTACACAAAATCATCGTAGTTCACCACAAGGTTAAGTTGTCCTTTTTTATGTTGTCATTTTGTTAT